GCTTCTTGCCGTCAGCAGGGAGCTCGATGTGGGGCTTGACCTCATGAACTGAACCAAAATCAAGAGTCAGACACTTAACCAACTGAGCCACCGAGTTCCCCCTGCTTTTATTCATTTTGATGACAGTTCTATGTGCCTCCTGGATCTGGATATCTCTTTCCTTCCTCAAATTAAGGAAATGTTCAGTAATTATTTCTTGAAATAAATTTTCTGCTCCCCTTTCTGTCTTTTTCTTCTGGGAGTCCTGTAATACAAATATTATATTTTTGGAGTCACTGAGTCCTTAAGTCTGCCCTTGTTTTGTGTAAATCTTTTTTTCTCTCTTTTGTTCACCCTAATTACTTTTCATTGTTCTGTCTTCTAGGTCACTAATTTGTTCCTCTGCTTCTTCATTCCTGCTATTTGTTCCACAAAATTTGTTTCTCATGTGTTTATTGAGGCCTTTATCTCTTCCGTGTCATTCTTTCAATATGTATTAAGGGTCTCAGTGATGTCTTCCACTCTTTCTCAAGTCCGTTGAGTATCCCTATGACTATTGCTTTAAATACTCTATCCAGTATGTTACTTACATCTGTTTTGCTTAGATCTCTGGCTGTGGCCTATCCTATTATATTGTTCAGGATAGTTATCTCTGTCTCCTCATTTTACTGCCCCTCTGTATCTGTTTCTGTGTGTTAGAAAAATCACCTGTGTCTTCTGTTCTTGAAAGTAGTGATGTATGAAGAGGAGGTACTGGAGTTGCCAACGGTGCAGGTCCTCTGCTCACCAGAACCCAGCACTTTAGGAGAGTAACTTCTGTGTGTTGCTTATACCCTGCTGTTGTGTCTGGTTCACTTTTCCTTTCAGTGTGGTTGTGGGCACTGACTCTCTGCCTGTTGTGGCCTGTACTTGCTCTCTGTGATATTAGTGGGTCCCTGGAAGCCAGTTATGAGGTGGAGTGCCTGCCAGGGAATTTGGGAGTCGGGCAGTGGTGCTAGCAAATGTGTCCTGGGCCACTGGTCCTATGCCAGATCACTCTGAGCACTATGATAGCTGGAGGCTGTGTACCAGGGCTGCTGGTACACAGTGGGTGATCCCAGTGCGGGACAGTAGTTGAGGGTATGTGACTGGGCACTGCTGCTGGAGGAGTCTGTGGGCAACATTAATGAAATTTGCCCTGAGCACTTGGCCTAGGCTGCAGGTGACTGTGCAGCTCTGCTTCCTGCAGGTGGTTCTGTGTTTAACTGGTGGGTGGGAGAGGAAAATGACACCTACCAGCTCCCTCATGTTTAAAGAAGTCCCCAGACATACTCTGAAATCAGTACGAACAGAGATGCCTCCCTTTTTCCCTCGCATTGGGCAAATGCCATGTTCGTGTGTCTCTCTGTACAGGCTGCTGTCTCTTTAAGGGCTGGGACTCACCCATTATTCACCCCCCACCTCCTCTAGGGCTGAGTTAGCTGACTTTACAAGCTCCAGGCTCCATGTCCCACCGGTTTTTACAAACTTACAGAAATCTGCCCCTCTGGTTTTTAAAGCCAAACATTATGAGGTTTAGTCTGACCGGTGTGAACCTGCGGTGTGAGGGTTTAGTCTGTCCTCCCTGTGAATGGAACTCACTCTGTCCTGTGGGCAGCCTCCCCCTGCCTTTCTGACCTAACCCTTCAGATGCAGCTACTTCTCTATATTTAGTTGTGGAGTTTGTTCTGCCAGTCTTCAGATCGCTCTCCAGTGTATTGACCTGGATGTGCATGTTATCTAGTTATAAATATGGGATGTGGTGATCTCAGGGTCCCCCTACTCTGTCATGTTCCCAAGATCTTCCATCCATGACATTTTATTCTCTGCAAGAGGACACCCCCTTCCCCATTAACCATTCAGTCCCATTCTGACCATCATGGGAACTACTGATATGTTGTCCATCTGTTTGAATTTGACTCTTCTGCATATTTCCTAGAAATGGTGTCACATAATATGTGAACTTTAGCTTCTGGTGTCTTTCCCTTAGCATAGTGTTTTCAGGGTTGATCCATGTTGTATTATGTATCAGTATTTCAGTCCTTATTATGGTTGAACAATATTCTCATTGTATGTTTACACATTTTGTGTCCTCCCTTGGCTTTCCTGAAGATAGCGTCTGTGAACATGTTGGTATATCTCTTTTTGAACTTCTATTTCAATTCTCTTTGAATTCTTTGTATTGAAGAATAATTGACATATACCACTATATTAGTTTCAGATTGTGTGTGTGTGTGTGTGTTTGTGTGTGAGTGAACTTCTAAGATCTATTCTCTTAGCCACTTTAATATTTTTTTAATGTTTTATTTATTTTTTGAGAGAGAGAGAGGGCTAGTGGGAGAGGGAGAAGAAAGAGGGGACAGAAGATCCTTGTTGACAGCAGAGAGTCTGGCTGTGCTTGAACCCATGAACTGCAAGATCATGACCTGAGCCAAAGTGGGGTGCTCAACAGAGTGAGCCACACAGGCGCTCCTTAACCACTTCAAAATATGTAATACAGTGTTATCAACCCTAATCACCGTGTGACACATTACATTTCAATCTCATTTATTTTATACCTGCAAGATTGTGTCTTTGACCTCTTCCATCTCTTCATTTCTTTAGAATACATACATAGGTGTGGAATTTCTGGGTCATATGGTAAGTTCTTGTTTAACTTACAGAGTAACTGCCACTGCATTTTCCACAGTGGTTGTGCCATTTTCCATCCCTCCAGTAATGTATGAGGGTTCCAGTTTTTCTACATCCTTACCAACATGTGTTATTTTTATGTTGTTTTTTTTACATAACACTCATCATAGTAGGTATAATGAGGTATTTGTTGTGGTTTTGCGCCTTTTTATTATGGTGGAATATACATAACATAAAATATATGTGACAATTTTACCATATTTAATTGTACACTTCAGTGGTATTCCCATATTGTGCCATCATCATCAGTATGCATTTCCAGCATTTTAAAATCATCTCAACCTAAAACTCTATCCCTTAAGCAATAACTTCCCATTTCCCCTCCCCCAATTGCTGGCAAGCATAATTTTACTTTGTGTCTATAAATTTGATATCTCTAGGTACTTTGTTTAAGTGGAATCATACCATATATATCCTTTCATGTCCTACTTATTAGATATAGTGTGTCTTTCAGGTTCACCCGGGTTGTAGCCTGTACCAGAATTTCACCCACATTCTGTGGGTGTGTATGTGTGCATCATATGGTAGACTCCACCAAAAAACTACTAGAAGTGATAAATGAATTTGGTAAGGTTGCAGGATATAAAACCAATGTGTGGAAATCTGTTGCATTTCTAAAGATGAATAATGAAACAGCAGAAAGAGAAATTAAGAAAACAATTTCCCGGGGCGCCTGGGTGGCTTAGTCGGTTAAGCGTCCGACTTTGGCTTAGGTCATGATCTCGTGGTTCGTGGGTTCTAGCCCCGCGTCAGGCTCTGTGCTGACTGCCAGCTCAGAGCCTGGAGCCTGTTTCAGTCCGTGATTCCCTCTCTCTCTGACCCTCCCCTGCTCACGCTCTCTCTCTCTCTCTCTCTCCTAGAAATAAATAAAACATTAAAAAAAAACCATTAAAAAAAAAAAGAAAACAATTTCCCTTGTCTCTAGCTCTGACCCAGGAATTGCACCACTAGGTGTTTACTCAAAGAATATAAAACCACTAAGTCAAAGGATTCCTTGCACCTCAATGTTTATAGCAGCATTATCAACAATTGCCAAATTATAGAAACACCCAAAGTGTCCATCATTGGATGAGTGAATAAAGAAGAGTAAAAAAGACATGGTATATTACGTAGCCATAAAAAGGAATGAAATCTTGCCATTTGCTACAACATGGATGCAGCTAGAGAATATTGTTCAAAATGAAATAAGGTATTTAGAGAAAGAAAAATACCATATTATTTCACTCAGATGTGGAGTTTTAATGGTTTCTTCTTAAGTTTATTAATTTGTTTTGAGAGACAGAGTGCGTAAGTAGGGAAGGGTCGGAGAGAGAGGGAGAGCTCGTCCTAGCAGGCTGCCCTCTGTCAGCACAACACACACCTTGAATTCAGAAGCTGAGATCATGTCCTGAGTCAATATCAAGAGACTGAGGCTCAGTTGACTGAGCCACCTAAGCGCCCCTCATATGTGGAATTGAAGAAACAAAATAAGTGAGCAAAAGTGGGGAAAAGGAGAGAGCGAAGTACACCAAGAAACAGACTCTTATTGAGAACAAACTGGTGGTTACCTGAGGGAAGTGGATGGGGGGTGGATTAAATAGGTGATGGGGAGCAAGATGTGCAATATTGTGATCAGCACTGGGTGTTGCACGAAAGTGTTGAATCAGTACATTGTACGTGTGAAACTAATATTAGACTGTATGTTAAGTAACTGGAAGTTAAATACAAACTTTAAAGTTTTGTTTATTTGGAGAGAGAGAGAGCACTTGCAAGCAAACACAAGTGGGGAAGGGGCAGAGAGAGAGAGCATGAAAGAGAGAGAATCCCAAGCAGGTTCCCTGCTGACAGTGCAAAGCCTGATGTGGGGCTCCATCAAATGAACCACCAGATCATGACCTGAGCTGAAATCAAGAGTCAGAGGCTTAACCGATTGAGCCACCCACACGTCCCATTAAATACAAACTTTGAAAATGAAAACATTCCCTTTACAATTGTACCCAAAATAATAAGACATCTAGCAATAAACCTAACCGGAGGCAAACTTCTTAACACTTTGAAAACTGTAAAACATCGATGAAAGAAATAGAAGATGGCACAAAGAAAAGGAAAGACGATTCCATGCTCATTGATAGGAAGAACAAATACTGTTAAAATGTCTATACACAGAGTCCATCATAGAAAGACATGTGGCTATGCTTTAAGATGCTGTATTGACTTTTTGGAGGTGCTTGGGTGGCTCAGTCAATTCAGCATCTGATTCTTGATTTCAGCTCAAGGCATGATCTCATGATTTGTGATTTCGAACCCTGGATCAGGCTCTGCACTAACAGTGGCTAAACATACAATTTACATTTTTTGGTAACATTAGGAGAGTTTGTGTTCCTTATGCAAGAAAAGCAGATCCTGAGTACTGTGGAGTCTCAAGTCATGATCAGAAAGGGACTGACAGTTGGAAAACACATCGAAGTTAGGGCAGAGATGTTTACTAACCACTGAGTGGGATTATAAATAAGAGCAACGCCAACATGAAAGATAGAGGAGATGAAGTAAAAAGATACAAAGGTGCTCACCAGCACTAGTGTGCTCTGGATGGCTCTGGACTCAGCAGAGGGTCTGGGGGAGCCATTAGTGCTGTGAATGTGTTGGATCTGCTGCTTGTGTCTGTGTAGGATGAAGACCATGGAGCCGCTGGCCCAGATCATCAGCCCAGAAAGTGAAACTTCAGGGAATACTATCAGTACTGCAAAAAGTCGCCCTGTCATTGTCTCAGGATCAGAAATAGAACAGTATCCATAATCCTTGTTCTTTGTGATGTTTTTGCTCCTCTGTTTCCCAGATACATAAAACTCATAAGCAAGAATGATAAAATTTACCATGATGTGCAGGATCCAGCAGAGGGTAATGGAGAATCCAATGTACTTTGGAGCTTTGACTTTAAGATCCTTCCACCAGGAGTTCATGGGGCTGATCATGATGGTCTGGAAGACACTCAAGAGGCAGATACTGCTAATGGACACCCCTCTGCCCACTCTCTGAACATCGAAAACAAGTTTGCATTCAAATCATTGAAGAAATATATCACCCCAAAAGCTGCCAATGTATGGGGGACTCCTTTTGAGAGCATCAACAGGGAGTTGGCTATAAACAGGTGCTTGAGAATCAGATCTGTGGGTCTCAACCTTCCTTCAGTGTGGTAATGGAAGAGATAATGGTAAAGAAGAGAGCAGTTTCCCAGGACTCCAACTATCGTCTGTGATGAGAAGATGATTGCTATTGCCAAATCCATGGAAGCTATTCTATCATTCAGTACATTTCCCCTTAAATTATAGCAACAATCATTCCTGTGAACAAAAGGTTCATTGAAGGTTTTGACATCAACAGCCATTTTGTTGGTTTGCTTCTGTGGGAGTGCCAGAGACTTGAAGAAGTAGTAAGAGTTAGAAGTACCAGCATCACAAACCCAGAGCTAGACTTCTTACACATACTTGGCTTATTCTAGAAATAAAGTCCATTACATGGTTTCTGCACAAAGTGAACTTATTCTGATAGTTCTTTCCGACTCTTCATTATAACCATAAAAGCATTATAAGCACATCACTCATAATATAGTGAATATAGGCTGTGGTTCTTCTAAGGACATGTGAGCAAAACATCAATTTCTTAACTAAGTCTTTCCATGGATAAGAAAACCCATTTTTATATCATTGGTATTCCTTACCAACAGTCATCCTCAGTGGGGATATCATTATATTATTTTAGGAGTCACTGTGAGTCTGTCTTCACTTGCTCAGCTCACAACTGAGGAGGTTTTCCTCCCCCTTCTCTAGCTTTGCTATTGAATCTGTTTCTACCACAAGTACTTACTTATTTACTTACTTACATTACTCAGACCACATTTCCTTGTAAACTGTGCCTCCCAGATTGAAATAGAAGTACTCACTGGACTCTTCCCTGTTGTCAGGAGTGTTGGCTCTGTGTGAATCACAACAGCCAGCACATGTGGTTGGGAGGCAGCCAAGCTCAGATAAAGGTCTGTGAATCTGTGACCTCACCTCCCATGGAAGTGTAATTATCATTTCTCTTATACACACAATGATAGCCGAAGGCAGCTGAGAACACTCATGAAGAAGTTGTTTCCCAGTTGCCAATTATGAAGACCAATTAAAAGTTCCTTCTGAGTATCTTCAAATAGACCACTGAAATGTTTAAGAAAACCTCTTCCTCTTTGATGATCCCTATGGTAGGCAGGGTCTCCTAGGAAAGGAACAGGAATTACTGAAGTCTGACTCATGGGGGACTGGTAGCCAAGTAGGTGTGTCTCACTGGATTCACTGCTTTCTTGAGAAGTTCTACTCCAAATAAATATCATTCTTAATTTTCAGTCCCTAAGTTGCAGCATTATTGAAATATTCAGGATAAGTGATATCAGAAAAGCTAATTGAAAACTTTGTAATGAGAAGCAAAAACTTGATATTCATTTATATTAGAAATTATTGGACACATTAATAGAGCTAAATGGTAATGGATTTGGAAATGATATAGAAATTTCTAGGAAAATATACTTTAGCAATATCGATTCCAGCTGTGCTACTGAGTCTAAGCAAACAAACAAAATCCATAGAAGTAGATGTTGAGAAAATGTCCAACACAAGTAAAAGCACCAGAATCAGATGGTTTCACAGGCAGATTGTATCCATCCTTGAAGTATCATTGAAGCCAAAGCTACTTTCTTCATTCAACTGTAGTGAAGGGTTAGCAGAGTTCTCTAGACTTAACTTATGCTGAAATTTCCTAGAGGCACTCACTGATCTTGTAATTAAAGAAGAAACATAAAGTATAATAGTCAAAATGATTCTTTGAATTTTGCAACAGAGAAATCTACCTTTCCATGTACTACCATCCCTTCCCCCTGAGAGCTTTATTTTGACAGAGGAGTTAAAGGGACTGCTGTGCCCACAAGACCACACTCAGTGCTGACACCAAGAGTAAGTTTGGAGCTTCCCCAAATCACGCTCAGTTTCCATAGTCCTCTAGAGGGACTCACAGAACTCAGTGAGAGCAGTTCTTCTCATTGTTGTGGTTTGTTACAGGGAAAGTGAACAAGTGAACATCAGACAGGAAAGAGATGCATGGAGTAGAGTCCAGGAAATGTACCCAGTGTGTATCCCATCATTGTCCTCTCTCTGTGGAGTCATGAAGTGTTACCTTCTGGGGTCCATACGGGATAACACTTATGGGCTATTGCCAGTGAGGGTGGCTCTCACAAGCGTTGGTGCCCAGAGGTCTTAATACAGCTCTACCATTTACCTTCTGCTTGGCTGACCTCACTGTCCATTCTGTCCTCAGGATGAACTGGTACCTTTAGCCTCCAGCCCTTCCAGAGGTACTTTTGTACAGGATACTTCAGGCCCAAAGGGTCATCATAAACCTCATTTTTAGATAGCCTGGTGATCAAACCTTCAAACAAACAAAGACACTGCTATCAGGCATGATATTCAAATGATTAGAGATCAACTCCAGTAGCAGAGGGCAAAGGCCAGACCTCCCTTAGGGTGAAGTTAATTCTTCTTTACACAGGTCATTTCCTGGGCTCGGCCCAGGACTCTCACAACAAAACACATATGTTTTTCTGGGCATCTACCTAGTGGAAAGTACATGATCACCTGCAACGTGTAACTGGGAGGAAGCCCACCATTGGAAGAAGCAGTGTGAGGTAGAGATGGTTTTAAAGAAACAGCTAATCTATCCTCAAAAATATATACATACATTTTCCTAATTTTGTACTAAATTGTTTATTTTCCTTCTTGATCTATTGACCTCTTTTGGTAAGAGGCAAATTCTTCTCTACTCACACCATAGTTGCCATATCAGGGAACAGCCATATGGCTCACAACCCATTCATCAACCACAGAAATGTACAGAGAGGAGACTCAGACATATGTGCAAATATACGTATGCACACTCACTGTCTGAAACACGATGAAACATTTACTGAAATAAGTCCTCATCCTCACACACACTGATTTCATGCAAATATCTGCACTTTGACACACTCACAGTGCATCCATCCACACAGATGTCACTGTCCCACTCACTTGCCCACAATCACTAAATCACCAGGTGGATATGTATTCCAGTAATGTGTTGGTAGAGGAAGGTTTCGTGCATATCTACAAACCTGTGAGGCAAGACAAGAGGATCCTAATTGCCCTTGAGACTCCCTGTCACAAAGCCCACAATGGCAACATTTAACATCTTTGACATTTAAAGCTTGCTCAGAATGTTGCCCCTTGTAGAGTTCCTGTCTACAGTAGGTTAAGTAGTACAGCAAAGGAAGGGGAATATATTTATAAGATTGAAAGATTCTTTTATTTTATTTTGTTTTGTTTAACTGATTTTATTTACTTTATTAGTGGTTTATTTCATTTCATTTAATAAGAAATGCAGACTTCCCACGCCGCATCTCATTTGGGTATATCTGGAAGCTGTGACCCTTGACCCTCCATACATTCTGTTACTAATGGACCTTGAGAGCTTGTGTTGAGAGTCCAGCAGAGGAGTGTAGCTACTTGCATCATGTTGACCAAAGATAGGTCATCCTTTATCAGGGAAGGTTATCCTCATGCACCCATCATATAGCTTTGGGAGGGATGCACATGCAGTAGAGAGGGAGGAAGGGGTCACCCATATAGCCATCCAGATCAGTGCAATCAATGGGGTGCAGATGTATCAGCCCCATGGCTCTCAAATCTGAAAGATTCTTTTAATATTTGGACACAACACAATGACACAGACGAAAGGCAGCTTGGCTTCAGACGACAGGGAGGCTACATGTGTCCCCCTGAAGGTAGAGGGGTAGGTTATGTATGGTAAAGAGAGTGGGTCTAGCTGGCTTTGTAGACTCTCTGATCATTGGCTCATTGAATAATTCCTTAAATTCTAGGGCATAAAGATGGGTCCCCATCTGCTGGTAGTTGGCCCCAGACTGATTAGAGGTGATTCTTGGTGGCCATAAGTAGGATAGCTCCATAAGCGTGGTCATGGTTGTGTGGACTTGACCAGTTGCTCAAGAAGGAGAGACTGCTGTCCCCCAGGCGGGGGCTCTAAACTGGGCCAAGGCAGCATAAAACAGGAAGCTGAAAACTCTACTACAATGTGTTTTGGGATATGAATTTCCTGAGGATAGTTAGTGTTGAGAGAGTTAATGTCGAAGGAGAGCAGGAGCCTTCCAGAGGGGATAATGGGCTCCTGCAGACAAGGTGATTGTGGGTAATGAAATCAGTGGGAAAGGGTAGTGTGTTTGAGTACACTAAGGGGCCCAAAGGAGAAGAGCAGATGTAGGGTTGTGAATCAAAGAATACAGGGAGGTAATGGCACTCAGTATTTGAAGCTGGGGATTTGAGGGCAGGGTAATAATGGTATGAAATTGGGCTGAGGTCACTGCAAGAAGGGAAATATAGGTCCAGGGGAAGGCAGAGGCAGTGGAAGTCAGGAGTATTTGGCTGACATCACAGCAATGGTATGGGACAGAGGGAAGCTATTCTAAGTGGGTGAGAGTTGGAAGTGGGCTACAGAGGTAGATGGATCTGGTAGAGATGGAGGGAAAAATGCAAATTAAGGTAGTAGAGGGTGATGCGGTATGATCTTGAGTATGGACAAGACCTAAGGAATTATCCTATGAAGTCCTTAAGGGCAATAGAGATATAAAGGGGATCAGTATGGAGATTCAGGAGATAATTTGTGGTACCTTGGGGGTCACTGATTCATTTCCCTACTGGTTAATACCCTCATTTATATGGAGTCACACAACACTCATGTATGGCTTTTCTTTTGAGACCATGAAGCAAAACTGATGCTCAAATAAGATGCCCCTACACAATTTTTACCATACAGTTAAGGCCACAGGTAGACTGTTGAGAGACAGCACTCATCCCTATTTCACTCCTGTGTGAGAATTTCAGGTGGAGTGTGTCTGGGGTTGCGTCTGGCAGGAAAGCCTGTTCATTGGTACCAGGCACTCAGTGTTGGCAACAGGTGGCAAGCCTGATCCTTCCCAAACTTAGATCTTCAAGAACATTCATTGTACAAAATTGATTTGATGAAGTTGTTCTTCTTTAGTGGAATATATCTGCAATGTAATGCATGCTTTATAGAAGAAATAAAACATTGGGGCGCCTGGGTGGCTTAGTCGGTTAAGCGTCCAACTTTCGCTTGGGTCATGATCTCGCGGTTCGTGGGTTCAAGCCCCGCGTCGGGCTCTGTGCTGACTGCCAGCTCAGAGCCTGGAGCCTGTTTCAGTCTGTGACTCCCTCTCTCTCTGACCCTCCCCTGCTCACGCTGTCTCTCTCTCTCTCTCCTAGAAATAAATAAAACATTTAAAAAAAA